ACATGTTCCAATCTTCGTTCCTTTGCCAATCGTCACAGGGTAATTATTTATGTTGATAAATCGAACAGGTACATGGTCGTCTGCTGACAGTAAAGCCTTGCCGACTAAGATTCCACGTCCGACTTCCTCGTCATGGTTCCAGGGTTCCATGATGATGGGACTGCCTTGCTCCAATGTACCCTCAATACGCGCTGCTACAATGGTCTCGCTCCGTTTCGGTAACAGGACGTCTTCTTCTAACATTACTCCTGCCGCTACCTCCACCCGTGGATGTAAGAAGATCTCTTCGGCACCCACCTTGAGTGTTCTGCTTCTGAAGTCCAGTTGGATCCCGTGCGCACCCATGATGTCCATTCCCAGAATAACATCTTCTTCAATATCCGCCATGATAGCTCGATGTGGAAATTTGACGGTCCCGATCGATATATCCACATCGATTTCCCCATAAACGGTGGCAGCTTCACCCGTAGCAGTTCTCAGACGCCATCTTGAGCTCACAAGTTGCTTTCTTGAAGACGTCAGAAGTCCACGTCGCAGGATCGTCTTCGATGCACCAGTTGTCGTCGACCGTCGCTCGAGATGGTCGGCGATACAGATTCGTCTGATCAAAATGATCATAAAGTGGATAGAACTTGTGAAATTTGTTGTAGTAATTTACGAAAAAGTGGTATAAAGTGTGCTAAAAAAGAATGTAATGTCCATTTACATCTGAAGTGCTTTGAGATTGTGGCAAAGTTATTTATTGTGCAAAAAGTAAACTGGCAATGCAAAAACTGTATGGGAATTCCCACCAGAAATAAAAATGAAGATAATCCTGTAATTGAAACATCTGTGTTACAAAAGGAAGTAGAGTGTTTGAAACGTGAGAACAACCTGTTGAACAATCTAGTATCTGAATTACAATATTCGAACAAGCTGCAAAAAGATCACCTTGATTTGTTATCCACAAAAACTGTAAGTACTTCGTTTTTTACTCCAAATGGGACCTCACTGCAATCCTACAGTTCGGCGGTGAAAACCATGAACAGAAATACTCAACAACACCAACAAAAATCGACTTTGATTATCAAATCCCAGGATCGAAAATGTAACGTTATCAGTGAAATTCAGAAAAACATTAATCCTGTGAATATTAACATAAATGTGAACAATGTAAAACCTATTCATGGAGGAATGGTAGTGAACTGCGAAAACGATGAGTCTCGATTGAAATTGAAAGAAGCAATTTCTAATAAATTCGGAAATAAATTTATACTGAGTGAGCCAACCAAATTTCGTCCTCGCGTTGTTATATCAAATGTTGATTTGGACTTTGATACAAATGAACACACAATGTTTGAAGATCTATCATTACACAACCCGGAGCTCAAAGATCACATTGGCGAATTCAAACATATCATTACCTTAAAAAGAAAATACAGCAAAAACATAGTTATCGAAGTATCGCCATCTCTTCGTAAAAAACTCATTTCAAATGGGTTTCTCTACCTAGGTTGGAAGCGCTGTACAGTAGAGGACTATTTTAATGTAACACGTTGTTTTAAGTGCTCTCGCTATGGTCATACAAAACAAAATTGCAAACAATCTAAAATGACATGTCAAGAATGTGCCGGGGAACATGAATATAAGGATTGCCCCCAACCAGAACAGAAAAATTGTATCAACTGTCTCAGTTACAATGCTGCTAGGAATTTAAAAAATAATAAGGCTGTTCTAACAAATCACTCGGCGACTGATTATAATTTATGTAGTTGTTATTATAATCAGATTGCCATTCTAAAATCTAGAATTGACTATGGCTAAGGAACATATTTTTAAGATAGGTAACCTCAATACTAGATCATTATTAGCTAGTTGGGGTGAATTTTCAGATTTAGTTGAGTGTTGTGATTTTGATGTATTGTTCGTATCTGAGACATGGCTGTCGAATGAAATACCTACAGATGTGATCTCACTTGATGGTTATAAGTTTCATCGTAAAGATAGGGTTACTGGAAGAGGAGGGGGTGTCGGTATATATGTTAAAAGCAAATATGTCTGTACTGAAATACTGGATATGCAAGAAGATTATAATATTGAACATATGTGGCTGAAACTCAAATTTGATAATTTAACTGTTGCTTTAGGAGTTATTTATAGGCCACCTCATAAAAGTATTCCAGGATGTGTTGATGTCCTTGAAAATATTTTATCAGATATTGTACCTAATTATGATACAATCATAGTAGCTGGAGATATAAACGTCAATTTGTTCAATCCAAATAATCCAATAAATTATGTATTCAATGCCTACGGTTTTACCCAGATTATAGATGAGGCTACACGAATTACGCAATTCTCGGAAACGCTTATTGACCCAATTTTTATAAATAATGCCAATTTTGTGAGAAAAACATATACACTGAATGCCGACTTAATATCTGACCATAAATTGGTTTGCTGTGAATTGAATTTGGCAACGTTATGTAAACAAAAAATGCACACATATAGGGATTTTAGGAATTTCGATCAAAATTCCTTCGAAGCCGACATGCTTGAAATACCTTGGTATGAAATCCTGTATATCCCAAATATTCAGGAAAAAGTTGATTTTTTGACTTTAAACGTTACTCAATTATTTAACAGGCATGCACCGATACGCACTGTTCGTATGAATAAGGCTCATGCGCCTTGGTTGACAGATACTGTCAAAATTATTATGAGTGAAAGAGACAAAGCTCTTGCCAAATATAGAAGGGAAAAAAACGAAGAAAACTGGCAGCAATATAAACATTTACGCAACTATACGCTTGCTGCAATACGTAGAGAGAAAGCAGGATATTTAAAGTTTTTACAACAAAACAATAAATCTGACATGTGGAAAGTTCTTAAAAAAATGAAAATTCAAAGACAACCGAATACCGGGCTTCCTGATAATCTAACTGACCCATCAATAATAAACAATACATTCTTATCCTCTTTCAATACAGTACAAGCCGATCAAGGTTTAGTTAATTTTTACAATAGTAATACATGTAAACCAAATATGAAATTCAGTTTTCGTCTTCCCAGTCAAATGGAAATATTAGAAATCATTAATAGCATCAAATCTAACGCCAGTGGTATTGATAACATATCATTATATATGATTAAGCTGTGCTCGACTGCAATATTGGACTATATAACTCATATTATTGGCTGCTGCCTGGAGATTGGTTATTTCCCATCTGGGTGGAAGAATGCAATTATAAACCCTATAGCTAAGAACCATAATCCATCAGATTATTGCGATTTACGAGCAATAAGTTTGTTGCCAGTTTTAAGCAAAATTTTGGAAAAATTCGTAAATAGTCAATTACAAAATTATGTATCACAAAACAATATTATTCCATCACATCAATCAGGTTTTAGACGTGGACATAGTACCACAAGTGCATTAATAAAAATAAATGATGATATTATAACAGCCATTGACAGAAAAAAGGCGACAGTGCTAGTGCTATTGGATTTTTCGAAAGCATTCGACACTGTCGACCATAAGTTACTTTGTTCAAAATTAAAGTATTACGGTTTGGACAATATCGCAGTCGAATTCTTTTCCTCCTATCTTGCCGATCGAACACAGAAAGTTCGTACATGTAAAGGCATATCTTCTCCAGGTCATGTTAGGTCAGGGGTACCACAGGGTTCCATATTGGGACCACTACTTTTTCTCGTATACACTGCCGATATATATAGAAATATTGAGTTTTGTGAAATGCAATCTTATGCAGATGATACCCAAATAAAATACAGTTTTGATATAGAAAATATTCCTGTTGCAGTTCAAAGGCTGAACAGTGACTTGGAACTCCTAAACAATTATTGTGAAAAACATGCTCTGAAACTGAATCCTAAGAAATCATTAGCTATGCTGTTTTGCGCGAAGCATATTTACGAAATAATTAGAAATGAAATTATTCTTCATATTGACAACGTTCTCATACCACTGGTTACTGAAGCTAAGAATCTTGGACTGATAATGGATATTGACTTCAAGTTTACGAGCCAGGTAAATAATTTAGTAAAAAAATCATATCTGTCACTAAAACTCCTTTTTGTAAATAAAAATATTTTGAATTTTTCCCTAAGAAAGAAACTGTGTGAAACTATCGTCTTGCCAATTCTTCAGTATTGTCTTATAATTTTTTATCCTTATCTAGACTCAGTTACTAAGACAAGATTGCAAAAAATACAAAATACCTGTTGTCGTTTCATCTATGGTCTCAGAAAATTTGATCATATCAGTCACTGTTTTCGTGCACTCAGATGGCTAAATATTGAGTTTTTGTGGAAATATCATTGTCTTATTTTTGTTCATCGTTTGCTGATTACGTCAATTCCAATCTATTTAAGAAACAAATTAATATTTCGTAACCAACAACATTATGTGAATTTAAGAGTTAACAACACATTGGATATACCACGCCATTCGACAGCTTTGTACCAGAAATCTTTTTCTTATAATGCTGTGAAATTGTACAATTCACTTGATTCATCTTTCAAAATTAATGTTATTCATTCCTTCAAGAAACGCCTTAAATTACATTTATTGCTCGAACAAAATGCCATTTGAAATTAAACTATATTTATTTACATTCATTCATTATAGAAAAAATTGAATAATTGCAAGTCATCTGCACTTAGTGATTAAAGTATGTTAAGTTTATGTATTATGTATTATAAATGTGCAGGGTTAGGTGTAAGAGTAGCCATGATGGCTAAACTTCGCTCTGCCAAATGTTTGTATAAACATTAAATCAAATAAAGACGTTTATTATTATTATTATTATTATTAAAACCTCAACGTGATAGCTTTCCGCCAACGGAAGATATTAACTATCATAGTTGGAAGAATGATAGAAGATATGACAGCCGTTCTTAGTTGTCCACCGGGTACATTAATACATCAGTGAAAGAGCAACTATAGAGACAGTTATAGATGAAGGTTGAAGTGTTATCGAATAAGTACCAAAATCTACCTTTCAGAATAGCTGATGCCCATAGTTGCACATGAACATCTGGAATTTTGCTTGCCAGCTGCATTGCTGGTGTCACCATATTCATGCTTTCTCTGCTGTTGCCTAATGATAAAAATATATGGCCCAGAAGGACTAACGAACATGAAGTTAGTCTGTTCAGGTCTTCAGCATTGGCCATTTTCAAGGTTTCTCTTAGATATCTCCTAAAAAACACATTGAACATTCACTGAGCAAATTACTTGATGATATGATAATGATGAGACTTTTGAAGAAGGTAGGTAAGGATATACTTTCCATCATAAAATGGCGATCTTATGGTCCCACCAGTGGCGTGTTCAAGGGGGGGGGGAATCAGAGGGGCCCGGCCCTCCCCCCCCCCCAAAGCAGACTACACTCGAATAAAAAAACACGAAAATTTCGGTTCATCCAGTCTTGTTTCATATTTATAGAAATCTACCATTTGATTATTAATAATATGATGATTGTTTTATGCTACACGGTGTGGATATTTTATGCACTGAAAAACTCGTTGAATCGTCAGTTCATACCTGAAGTGGAACCACGAACAGTTGAGAAGAAGAATATTATTCTCTTCGCCCGCCGGTCAGCCTAACCGGCAGGACGATCGTGTTTCCGTTTGCGTTCATATAATCGGTGGCGATCACGTGGCTGCCAAATGATCAGCGTTTACTGTTCAAAGTTTTCAGTTAGCTGTAGACTGTAGAGTCGCTGAGTTAGGTAGTTGTTGGCGGTGGTAACTTTGCATGAGTAATCTCGAGTCATATCAAAACAAGAACTGAGAGCTGAAATAATAATGTGGCAAAAAAGATGGGAAAATAAACCAGATTTGCCCTCTACAGCAATCGAAGCACTTTGTTTTGGGGCGAGTTTGTTCCCTGCAATAAAGATTTTACTGCAAATATTTGTGACTACCTGTGTCAACGGCAACAGCGGAAAGGAGCTTTTCAACCATGAAGCGCTTGAAAACCCACTTAAGGTCAACCATGGGTGGAGAGCGTTTGAATGGTCTAACTCTAATTAATATTCACAACGAAGTTGATTTGAATATTGAAAATGTAATAAATAGGTTCGTCACAAGTGAAGCCAGACGAATGAGTCTCAAAGACTGGTCAGGTTGAAATAATTGATCTAAAAAAATTTATAAGTATGCTATTTTCCATGTTTGTTCATTGCTTAGCCAAATTAAAAGAGAATGGTTGTTCTGGTGTTGTTTCGTTTAATTATATTCGTCAATGTATCACGACAAATTTTGGCAACATTTTTAATTTTTGCCTCGGCCCCCCCTAAAGCGAGATTCTAAACACGCCACTGGGTCCCACAAAATAGACGAATCTAATTCTAGCAAAACCATTTCAAGATAATAAACTTTATGTTGTTATCTCCAAGATGTAGAATTGCATGCCAACACTAGAGAAGAGGCCTAATGATTACCCTTCACTAAATATATACTTTTCTAAATGGATAAGTTTATCTACATATGTAACTGATAACACTTACTTCGCCTCATTATATCGACCTTGGAAAAAAGCTTGGAGCCCTTGTACGTAATATGCAGCCGCTCTTAGGCTGTGAGAGTGAGAAGGCAAACTTTCAGGGTTAATTCTCTCATGTAAAGCAATAAAGTCTGCCTCTCTTTTCCCCCTTAGATATACAATTGCCAGATTCAAGTTGGTGAATGTCCATAATTCTCGTTCTTGCGAAATCTACAAAAGAATTTTCAAGAAAGTAGTACAATCACAATAGACATAATAAAGGTTATGAAGTTTTGAAACATGGCAAAATCGTAGGCTCGGTATTTATAATTTTGCAACCTAGAGCAACCACCGCAGAACTTCATTCCTGTAAAAAGGTTTTGCTTGAGAAATGAAAATATTGGACTCCTTCACAATTTTCTCGTTGAACTGATGTTTCTCATGTATGAGGAGACTTCGTAGCAGATATAAATATCTGAATTTTTAGATGAGAAACTCTTTATCCGAAGCACGCAGACATTAGGTTATACGCCATTTATCGGTCGCCATTTTTTCAACTTGGCGGCACGAACAGCGGTCGCTCAAGTTCGCATACGCAGGGTTATGATTAAGACCATCAAGATCCCTTTTTCCATAACCTTTTGTAACGTAAAATTTTCCAATGACTGAACCGAAGGGTTTTTTGTGTATAATGTGTTCAATTTTGTACATAACAAGATGAATGAAGTGAATCAATTCAAGCTGAAAGTGGTTGCTCCACTGACTAAACTACTATCTAGACCACTAATGCCATGAGAAAGAAGGTAAGCCACTCACCGAGGTCGAACTGGAAAATAATCCTCCGCATTTAGGACCTATCATATATCTTATTCACTCTCACTCATTACTCAAGAAACATTACTCGCTGTCATGAACGGCAGTTTGAGGGTTCTTGTGCATTGAGCAGAAGCGTTTCCAGGCGAGCAATTTACGGGTTGCTGAGATAATATGACCACTAGCGATCTATACCGGGTGTATACACCTAACCATTTTGATGAACTTAATTTGATGATAAATCAGGAAATTTGACATTTTTGACAGGATTAATTTTTTTTTCCATAACACTTATCGATATGAGTTCATCAGACTCGACCAGCATATAGTCATGGCACACTCAGATGGAGAATGAAATATGAAATTAAAAGCAATATTGGATTTTGAAAATAATGCAGAATTCTAAAATGCAATGATATACAGGGTGTTCTATTCAAAAATAAAAAGTTATTACCACTTTCATTGACACCGCGTAATGAAACAAATTTTTCATGCAACACATTGTATATTTTGTACTGCCCCCTTATACGTTCCTGTATTACAGTATTTCATATTTCACGAGAAACTCTGAGTTATTTGTTATAAATACTCATAGAACCAACGATGGGATCGTCAGCCTTCTTTCGTGCATTTTGCGTAATTTCAATGTATGTAACATTGACCCGATTGTTCAGTCTTAAGCCATATTTAACAATATAATTTGTAAAATTGATCCTACGTTAATGCATCACAAATAATTTAGTTGATACCTTTTTTCTCCTTTCTTTATTTTTATTCTTCTATGGACATATTTCAATTGTTCAACCAAATGGCTGTACTTAGGAAATAGTTTCAATAACTTCGTTTCAACAACAAATTGTATTGTATACAAAGAGTTTTTTCATTATTGAATTTTATTTTGACGATGCTGCGATGTTATTGTCCTTATGATATCTTGATCATATTTTGTAATTAATTTCTATTGTGAAGGTGAATCCTCTTATTGAATGAAGAAAAAAATTGGAAATATTGAATAACCTCACCGATACGTTATGCACAGTGTCTGATGCCATAGAAATAGTTATTTATTATACAAGGAAAAAAAGTAGTAGATTTTAGCTCCAGCGGAGGGAGACAAAAAACCGTGAGCTAAAATCTAATATTTTTCCTGTGTATACACTATTTTTTTCTGTGACAAAAGAAAGGACGAATCAATATTGAGTATATATTACATTATATTGAAATCTGAAAATTATCGACGTGAAATTTTGTCTGATCACTTCTGTCAGTCCAATTCTGTGATTTGATTTCAAAAAATTGCGAATTTAGTGGTTGTTTAGTAATATCCGTAACCGCGAAGTCGAATGGAAGATAAAAGGACTTGCAGTTCTTTCTCGGAGACGGTATTATTGACTCATTTTTCGGAACTATAGCACAACAAAAGCCATCAACATTGTATATATATGTGATATATATCCGGGAAAAAAGTTCTCACTTTTTTCCCACGGGAAAAAAGTAATTTATGAAAAGTGACATTTTATAACCTGCCAACAGAAATAAAATGCCAAACTTTTTTCCTGTCACAGAAAAAACATATTCAATATCAATAATTCTTCAACAATGATTGAGCCTTGGATTGCGAAAAGTTATCACCACCATTCGCCATTTCATTCATTTATCTGTGTTTGGCGTTTATGATTGTTGTCACTTACTATTCCGTGATTTGTGGATAAATCGCGGTATTACTTTTTTTGTGTTTGAGTTTTCTACTGTCTTTATTGGAATTTTGAATTCCAAAGTTTTCTTTGCCTGAAATGATTATCCTTGGGCGAGTGAATGTTCAACTTACATTGAGAGCGGCCATAAACTGAGCTTCTGCAGCCTCCATACAATTCATGCTCATGGAATACAACCCTAACAATGTATGTAACTGCGGCCCATGGGTCTCCAGTAAACGAGGGCATTGCTTACATAGTGCTGCAGCTGAAGAGATTTCTTGGAGTGCTTGAGTCTTGTTACCCATGACTAAACGACACATTATAATGTGTTCGAGTAACATCAGTTGAAATACCGATAGAATCGGTTTATTCTCTACAACTAAAAAAATATACAAATATATAACGAGAGGTGTAAAAAGTTACGCGAGTTATTTATGTCATTTTTGATAGCTCATAAAATAGTAGATTTGAGCCTGAGTGAACTTACAATGTCTATAAAATCTTTGTACATATCCACTATACTCAAATTATTCTGATTTTCGGTACGCTAACTTCAAAAAACAATTCCCAAATGACTTTTGATCAAAAATAATCACAGAATTACTTGATTTGCATTAAAAACACTTCCACGCCATTTTTAATAATTCTACAAAACACGTCTTAACAAACAGACTGTTTGCTCTCAAACCGTTTTTGTCTCTTTCTATAGTATGGTTAGAAAGCATATTGTATTCTTCGGCTCCATCGTTAACAGCTTGTGTATACTGCATCCTTCTCTATCGCATAAATATTACGCGCAACGCTTCTCTGTCATACATCCTTGCTTGCTCCGATTTTTTAATTTAAAAGTCTGACAACTGTTATTCATGAACGGATTTTGCAAGGAAACTCTATACTACTGTATTCGTTATAAAATTGCCTTAATATTGATATATTCCACAAATATTGTTTATATCTTACTTGAAAGTGAGCAACGACAAAAAAATTTCAAATTCGATACAATGCTATAAAAGGCTATTTGATTATGTTAAAAGAAGATCGTCTTGTTGATATTTCGAGAAAAAACGGAAAAACTAGACCAGACTTCAAATTTTTATGTCTGAGTACTCCATTCAGGACATCCATTACTGGATAACCACTGTATGTAAAATTTTGAAATTTGTATACCTATTCAGTCACATAGCAGACTGAATTTCGCCATCACGAAAAGGTATAAAGGGTGGACAAAACAATAATTTTTGCATATTTTCAACATTGACACCCAGTATCTCAAAAGTTAGGACGTGTAACATACGTTCATATGACGTTTAATTCTTGAAATGGGTCGAAGAATCGGCGCCTTGAATATTAGCATATCATTAAACACCCTGTATAGGTATCTGATACTTGCTCGCTGATAGGTAAATAAACCTACCACCTAATGGAGTTGTAGTATTTCATATAAATGACTAATGTTCAATATATTATCATGTGAATGATTAATCTGAATAAATCACCGAATGTGACGTTAGGTAACACCAGCACAAGAAGGCAGTTGTGATCGGACGGTCGGGCGGAGTGAAAGGTGTCATCGAGTACAAAAGTGTTTTATTGATATTCACCCTACAGCTCATAAGTATAAGCGATCCGAAGGAACGACCCTGTATTTCATGTTGGTTGGGTGTTGATTCACTATATATGGGTTATGTAAGGAATAACGGCTGGAGCGAATGAGCTGGTATGGAATTTGGGATGATAAGAGACGAGTCAGTATGCTCAACGCGTTTCAGTGGGTGATAAACTGTAGTACCTCTTTTTGTTTTTCAATATACTTGTTCATTTACGTTTTCGGGTTTTTCTGAGTGTTAGTCCAGTTTAGCTGTTTATAGTTCAGGTGTGGTGGTGAACACGTGCCTACGATAAGCAAGTCACTATTATTTGAGTGTGTTAAGTGTTGATAGAGTATACAGAGTCAACAGGGTGTTCACTATAATCACGAGACATGGGCAAACGTGCCAGGAACCAAAGGAAATCATCCAGCTCGAGCAGCAGTTCTTCCTCTAGCGATTAAAGATATCGAAGAAAGAAGGGTGATAGGTACCACCAAGAAAAAGAAGTCGAAGTGGAGGTACACGCAGTTCCATCACGGGTGAGTGCAGTGAGAACAGTGAGGGAATCACGAAGACGTTCGTTGACTCCCCCACGTTCTGACCATGGGCATTCAAACAATAGAATCGAACGACTGGAACGTCTGGTCGAACAATTGACTAACCAAAATAGAAATAAGGATGCCATACGAATGACAGTACACGGCGACTACATTCCCGAATTTTCCCCCGACCGTCTGAACCTGACTGCGAATCAATGGCTGGATAAAATCGATCAATTGAGGGGGATCAACGGCTGGAATGACGTAACAACCATATATTATATGCAATCGCGGCTGATCGGCATGGCGAAGAGTTGGTATCACAGCTTGTCCAACTATAACTATACTTGGGATGAGTGGAAGTTATTGATTAGGAAAACGTTCCCAGATCATGTCGATTATGCTACAGCCTTGCGTAAAATGTTGAACCGCCTGAAACTACCAAACGAAACTATGACCACGTATTACTTCGAAAAAATGGAATTGATACGAACGTGCGGAATAACCGGCAAGAAAAGTGTGTCTTGCCTAATAGATGGATTGGTCGATGCGGTCATACAGAATGGTGCCAGAGCCGGACGGTACGAGACTCCAGAGGCCTTGTACGAAGAATATTTATCCACACAACAAGCTGATACAAAGAATATCAAAGTATCAGTGAATAACTCGGTGAATAATGAATATCTGGATAGATCCAAAGGAAGAAACGATCTGAGACGTAACATTCAGCACAAAAGGACCGAAAGCGAAACTTCCATACGTAGATGCTTCAACTGCAATCAAAGAGGCCATATTGCCCCCAAGTGCCCAAGACCACGTTTAGAGTGCAGCAGATGTCACCTGCTTGGGCATGAAGCCAACAATTGCTCAAAAGATAGAAAAGACGTTAAAGGACGGATTACCGAGGGTGAGTCTAAAATTTCAATATCCACCATAAGAAATGACGTTAATAATTCTAACGATTGCTATTTTATTGATTGTGTTATTGAAGGGAAGGCATTGAGAGGGTATGTAGATTCAGGTAGCAATGCTGTTACCATACGGGAATCGGACTTCAATGAACTGGGTCTCTTAGGGTACCCAACGCAAGTACGATTGTGTGGGTTTGCTGGTGGTTCAGTTATTGTCAGGTCGAAGGTTGACATAAACCTCAAGGTTGACTTAGCCGAGGCCAACGTTTCTGCACTTATTGTTCCTGACGAAATACAACAGGTTTCTGTCATAGTTGGTCAGCCATTTATAAATCATAAAGATGTTATTGTGGTGGTTAGAGACAAACAAATTCGTTTGTTTAACAAAAGCCCCAATGATTTGACCGGAGTTACTAGTTTACCGCCAAAGAAAGTAACTATGTGGGCTAAGGAGGCTACGGTTATTCCTCCACATCACATGGGTCACATTGCAGTCTATAGTAAAGAACAGACACACAACATATTCGTCGATTTACAACATCGACCATGGCCAGGAGGCTTCCACATTATCCCCAGGTGTTTAATCGAGACAAAAGCTGATGCCGTTATTCCTATCCTGAATTCTTCTAATTTCCCTGTCGAATATCCGAAAGACAGGGTTGTCGCTCGGGGCGATGTATGTTTCCCAGAGACAGATCTAGCAACCGAAAACTGTCTCCCAATCCGAACAGAAAAGTTGAATCCGTTCACTCGTTCAGAGGTAGAACGGCAGTCAAACGACAAACTTACTCGAGAAGAGATAGACAAGTTGCATACTTTATTAAATAAATATCGCGACTGTTTTGGCATGAACATAAACGAACTAGGGCACTGCAAAACCTCCCAGGTTTCAATTTCGTTAACGGACAGTCAACCCATCACCTATCGACCATATCGTCTCTCTCACTCGCAGCGCGAGAATGTTAAAAATATTTTGAGCAACCTGCTCGATTGTCAGATTATCCGCGAATCAGATTCCCCTTATGCCAGCCCAATCGTCCTAGTGAAGAAAAAGAACGGCGAAGAGAGAATGTGTATCGATTATAGAGCACTGAATGCCAAAACTATCAAAGACAAGTATCCCTTACCTCGGATTGACGACCTAATGGATCGTTTGAAAGGTAGTACATATTTCACTAGCCTAGATCTCAACTCGGGCTATCATCAGATTTCTATGGCTGAAAACTCTATTTCCAAAACGGCCTTTGTGACACCGGACGGGCACTATGAGTATCTGAGAATGCCTTTTGGACTAGTGAATGCACCAGCTGTATTCCAAAGAACCATGAACAAGATCTTAGGATCTCTGAGTTTCACCTCTGCCATGGCCTACCTGGACGATATTCTTGTACCATCTGTAACTGTTCAGAGTGGCATTGAGCGGTTGGAGGAGATTTTGATACTGTTTCGTGAAAATGGAATGACGCTACGTTTAGACAAATGCCACTTCCTTCAAACAAAAATCAGCTATTTAGGTCACGAAATTGACCAAGATGGTATTAGACCCGGCGCCGAGAAAATATCCGCAGTTTCTGAGTTTCCACCACCTACCAACGTTCACGAGGTGAGAAGGTTCTTGGGCCTCACGAGTTATTTTCGAAAATTTATCAAGGGTTTTGCCCAGATAGCAAAACCTATTTCAAACTTGACAAGAAAAAATACAAACTTTAGCTGGGGTTGCCTTGAACAGCAAGCATTTCAAGATCTGAAAGATAGGTTGGTGACTCGCCCTGTGCTGGCGATATACGACAATCTCGCAGACACTGAGGTCCACACAGACGCCAGTAAATTTGGAGTTGGAGGAATTCTATTTCAAAAACAATCGGATACGAATTTGAAACCAGTACAATACTTCAGTAGATCGACTACAATAGAAGAACAGAAATACCATTCGTACGAGTTAGAGACCCTGGCAGTCGTCAACAGTTTGCAGAAGTTCCGGATATATCTAATTGGAAAACAATTCAAGGTAGTGACAGACTGTAATGCTCTGAAATCTACCCTGACAAAACGAGACCTGATACCGCGAATAGCAAGGTGGTGGTTAACTATTCAGGAGTTCGACTTCACCATCGAATATAGACCGGGACCAAGAATGTGTCATGTAGACGCACTCAGCAGGAGTCCGGTCGAATGTAGTGAAGGTTACGACGATATTCAGGTCGTAATGCCAGTTAACATCGACGAAGGCGACTGGCTGCTTTCTGCTCAGTTGGAAGATAAACGATGCAAATATCTACATGAAGTTTTAATGCGAGCACCACTCGACCCAAATGAACGAACTATCCACGACGAGTATGT